CCCCCCCTTTTTTTCTCTCTTTTCAAAATTTGTAAAACATGAGTGCATCAAACACACAAAATAAAAAATATGCAACACACAAAAGAAAAATAATGTTCATGTGCCAATATAAATAAAACGAGATGCATGCTATCAAGAATAAGCACATGCATGCACCAAAAATGCTAACTCGCTGTGACATAAAACTTCAATCCCCTTAAAGAGCAACACAAACAATATCATCAGCTAGAGCATATTTTTTCATCATAGAGATGACTATTCTTAACCCAAACTTGCCTAGTGGAAGACTTATTCTGAATCATTTGTGTCATTAACTCAGTCAATTGACTCACGTGATTAGTAAAAAAGTCAATCCGGCCATCAAAATCTTGATTTCTATTTCTAGTGAAATTTCGATTTCTATTTCTTTTCAGAAATTTATGACACTTAGGCCTTATATGTCATAACTCAACATAATTGAAAAAAGTAGGGATAAATCTAGGTCTAAAATTATAAGGTCGCTAATATTTATTCCTAGGTTGGTAGGTCCTCGCTGTCTAGTAGACCTCTGTCCTACGATACCCTTGTTCTTAAGTTCAAGATTAGGAACATAATTAGGTTGGTCGATGGAAACGACAAAAATGGTTTTGGAGCCTATTATGATTGATCTGCTTATATACTAGACCTCCATTATTCCTAGTAGGTTTATTCAACCCTAAAAGGTTGTCCAACTTCTGAGATCCACTCAAGAAGGATTGGAGTTAAGTATTGGATTTCTCAGGGTTACTTGTCAGGGTTTTAACCTTAGCTTCTAAGTTCTCATTGACTAATATTTACTCACTAAGGCTTTTTGGTTGACTCTTGAAGTTCATATATAAATCATTTCTTTCTAGCTCAATTGCATTAAGATTTTTAAGCATGATTTTCTTTATTTTCTTAATCTTAAAACTCTCCTCAAATAATTGATGACAAGCCTCGCGAATCTTTTCGTCATCTTCAAAATCTTCCTCAGAGTGCTCATCACTATCTACTTCCTCGATCTTCTCACTGTCCTAATCAGATTCATTCTTAATCCTAACAGTTAAAGCCATAAACTTTCCACTCTCATCATGAATGGACTTCACTTTGATTATTCAAGTTAGACATTATTGAGAGTTGCATTCATCACTTTACTTGATTTCTCTTACTGTTAGGGTACTCACTTCTATAGTGGCCAAAACTTTGACATTTATGACATCTCACAGATTGAGATCTCTTTCTAGACTCACTAGGAGCACCTCTATGTCTCTCTTAAGGCTTTTTCTTATTTCTAAACATATTTCAAAATTTCTTAGTAAAATAAGCTATTTACTCATCATTAATGGTCTCTGTGTCAGTAGAGTCATACTCTTCTTCCTTAACAGTGTTCAATGTTATAGACTTGTTCTTCTTAGATTGAGATATGGTGAGTTTATGAGTTTGGAAAAATCCAAGTAAATCTTCAAGCTTAACCGTATCTAAATCCTTGCTCATCTTAATAGCCATGATTTTAGGTCTAAATCTTTCAAGTAAGGGTAAGATTTTTTCTGACAATCTTAGACTCGGGAATTCTCTCGCCTATGTTGAAGTTATAATTAACTATGTCATTCAACTTCGCATAAAAGTCATCGAGGTCTCATCGTCTTTCATCCTAATCTTTTCAAACCTAGTGGTCTACATCTGTAACTTAGATTTCTTAACAGCTTGATCTCTCTCATGTGTGGTTTGTAAAATATCCCAAACCTTTTTAGCAACCTCATACATAGACATACGGCCAAATTCTTCTAATAACACAGCCATTAATAAAGCATGTAAAGCCTTACGATTCCAATTACATTCATTTAAATTAGTCTTCGACCAATTAGCTGTAGGAGTGGGGGTGATAACACTGTTAATGGTGCTAGGAGGGACAATCCAACCATTCAATACACTCAACCATCGATTTTAGGAAGACTCTCATTTTAGTTTTCCAATAGGCATGGTTATTGCCATCAAAATATGATGGGAGAGGTAATGAACTACTTATCTTGAAAGTTAGGGCCAAGAATTGAATTTGAGCTCTGATACCACTTGAAAGTTACTAGTTTGACTCTAAAATTACTTAGAGGGGTGAATAGGTGAATAATACGGAACTAAAATGATCAATTAAAAGCAACAAGTCACATTTTAATTGTTCTGATGTTTAGTCAATTAAATAAATTCTCTCCTTTGTTGAATTGCCACTATAGTTAATAAGGTAGTAAATAACACAGGATTTGTTGACGGAAAAAATCCTTCACAAAATTAAAAATTCTTGGACCAAGCCAGTGACTTCCATTATAGGCAATAAGAACTTACAGTATGATCTAGCTTAGAAAACCCATTAGACTCGCTAATCTAATTCTTGCAATCTCCAAGATTAGCTGGTACGTGCTTTACTCACACTTGCTTTCGATCTTCTGAAATTATCTATCATTTGTAGATCAACAAGTACTCTTTCTGTGCTTCTGTCCAACCTCTCTCTATCTTCAGCAACCTCTGAAAGCTATTGAAAAAGTCCTTCCTAATTATATTTAGAAGTAGGTGTTTTGGATTACATGACTTTGATGTTTTTTTCCAACTTGTGGCTGATAGATCTCAAGATATAGAACTATTATTTGATCTTCAAAGGATGTTATAAGAGTAGAATATAAAAATAACATAAAATAAAGGTAGAACATAACGATCAACCACCATTTTCAAGAAGTCGGGCTTGTGTATTTATAGTAGAGAGGTATTGGGGTAGTACAAGATAGATAGAACTTTTGAAAATCACGAACTAGGGTTTCTTGGAAAAACTGTCGCTCGAGCGTCAAGCTAGCTCCAGGTGAGCGACAGTCGGACGATAATGATTTTGCTTTGGATGCTCAAGGATCAGCTTAATGACAAGCTAGAATAATTCCAGTAACTCTTTATCCATGTTCCATATTCGAACTCAAAGACTCCTAATTAATCTATATAACATTCAAACAAACTCCTTGACTTTTACAACTTTTTTATAATAACCATTTTGTCTAAAGAATAGTCAATATAATGAAACCTAACACAATGCAAGAATGGAAAGTTAACTCTGTTGACAACATCATTGCTACCGTGTGCATTGGGAATTCGTTCAAAGGAAAAGTTCAAGAATTATGGCATGATACTTGTGTCATCATACGTATGTGCTACGATAGGTCTCTTTTCAAAATCTATCATGAGGTGGATGATGAACACATTCCAATGAAAATAAAGTTCAGTTAAATGTTGTTGGAAAATGAAGCATATACTTTCACATCCAACAAGAATATCACGTTAATAAATGTATTACATGTATTGTATATAAATAGAAATATTGTAAGTGGTGGTTTGCTGGAAAAATCAAGAATTAAGTCTACATATGAGTCTAACAAACTTGTACTTTCCTAGAATGATGTATTTGTTGGAAAAAGCTATTTTAGTGACAGAATGGTCAAACTTTATATTATTGACAATGATGTTAAACTTCAAATTTGAATTATATTGTAGAATCTATTTCTTTATGGCATGATAGACTAGGACATATTGGATAGTCTACTTTAAAAAGAATGAAAAAAAAAATCAAAAATGATTTTATGTGAAAATATAGAACATAATAAAAAGTGAATTATGTGTTAAGTCTAAAATGTTTAAAAAATCTTTTCAAAGTGTTGAAAGGACATCTAACTTGTTAGATTAATTCATTCCGATATATGTGAATTAAATGAAATATTAATTAGATGAGACAATAGATAAGAACATTTATATATGATCATTCTAGATTTTGTTATATTTATTTGATGAAACATAAGGGTGAAGCCTTTAGCATGTTTAAGATATGCAAAGTTGATGTAGAAAATTAAATAGATATATTAAAATTTTTAGAAGTGATAGGGGAGGTGAGCACTTCTCTAGTGAATTTAATCTTTTTTATGAATAACATGGCATAATACATCAATGTTGTGTACCTAGAATATCCGAAAAATGGTTGATTGAAAGAAAGAATATGACACTAGTTGAAATGATAAATGAATATGACACTAGTTGAAATGATAAATGCTTTGTTATTAAGCACTAGGTTGCCAACTAACTTATCGGGTAAAGCTTTTAGTGTGTCACATTGTCAATAGAATTCATTCTAAAAGATTTAAAGTTTCTCCCTATGAAAGGGAGAAAGCTGGACATTGGCTATATCAAAGTGTGGGGGGGTTTCTTGCTTATAATAAAAACAATGATCCTAAAAGAACTACTTTATGTACTAGAGGGATCAAATGCTATTTTATTGAATATGCCCGAAATAACAAGGCATATCATTTATTAAACTTGGAAACCAATGATATTATTGAATCTCGGGAAGTACAGATCTTGGAGAATTTGTTATCTTTAGATAATATATATATATTTTAAATGATGGTCATTTATTTCAAATTTACAATAAGTAACATATGTCATCACACCCCACTATTGCCTACCTCCTCCCTCTTTTAGACGTTTTAGTTTTCAATCGTCATGAGAACACAATTCATGCAATGTCTTTTAGTCTACTCATCTACTTGGTCTGAGTTGTGGTTATAAATACAATTGCATTATTGCAGTTTTTTTATTTTAATTAATCGGTGAGAGTGATAGGAAGGTATGTTGATTCATAGATCCAAAGTATGAGTGCTAGGTAGTATATTTTGAAAGCAAAAAATTAATGTACAAACTGTTGAACAAATAATCTCTAATCAAAGGCAGAGGCAGAGTTGATAAGTGTATTTTATACACTTATGTAGACCTAAAAATATCGATATTTAATAGTTCTTTAAAGCAATTATAATCTAATTTATTGTATATTTCATTTATTAGGTAAAACTCGATGGAGATCCCACTAATTGAAGCTATGTCTCAAATACCGAACTATGCAAAGTTTTTGAAAGATATCCTATCCAAAAAGAGAAGGCCTACAGATTTTGAGACCATCAAGTTAAATGAGGAGTGTAGTGCCATCATGCAAAACAAATTAGCTCCTAAACTACGAGACCCAGGGAGTCTCAAAATCCCTTGCTCAATAGGAAGTGATTCGAATTTTAATTGTTTATGTGATTCAGGAGCAAGTATAAACCTAATGCCTTTCTCTGTATACAAGAAATTAGGATTGGAAGAATTAAAGAATACATCCATCTCCCTTCAATTGGCAGACAGATCAATTAAATGCCCATGAGGAGTGGTTGAGAACGTGCTCATTAAAGTGGGCAAACTCATATTTTCCGTTGATTTTGTTGTCCTAGATATAGAGGAGCCATGGGATGCAACATTACTTATCTTGGGTAGATCCTTCCTATCAACAAGTTGAGTTGTTATGGACTTTGAAAGTGGCGAACTGACATTGAGAGTGGAAGATAAGGAAGAGAAGTTCAAGATCTACAATACTATCGACAATCCATTACATGAAGAGATTAGCAAAAAGGCTAAGAAGGAGTGCAAGTATATTGCTGTAATGGTGCAACAAGGCTCGAAAGAGACAGAACCTAAACATCTAGTGAGCATTGAATGAAAGAAGAATGGAGGGTTCAAGGTTTGAAGAGAAAAATGAGGATGCAAGGTCGAAAATTGCAAGGAGTTCCAAAGCTCAAAACACCTATTTAAGTCACCCTGATCAATTCCTCCATACAGTCTAGCTAAAGACTATAAATTAAGGACTTATTCGGAGGGAACCCAATCTTCTAAACTTTTATTTATTTTGCTTTCTGTATCACATAGCATATAGATTTGTTTTGATTACTATGTTGCATTAGATTTAAGCACGTTAAATTTGTAGGGTATCACCATTCTTAATACTCCCGTTAGGCTATTGAATTTATTGTTGATATTTTGATTGTTTGGGTTAAGTAACACATGTTCTAGATTACTTGATTTTTAATGTTTGATTTGACTGTTATATGCAGGGACATGACGTCGGGGAACATTCAAACCAACATAGACCCAAGAGGAAAACATGATGAGAAAATTTTCCTAGTCGTCACATATAGTACCTCACACAATCAACAAAAAATTCGGAGAGTACCGTCTTCCTTTTATTCTCTGCCCCTTTATGGGCTTACTTATGTTTTATAACATTGAGGACAATGCCGATTTTTAAGTTTGGGAGTGGAAAAAAACTTTTAGTTTTTGTTTTTCATATGTTTTGTGTTTTTGTGTGTTTGTCTTAGTAAAAAAAGAAAAAAATCGAAAAGAATTTGAAGAGTTTTAAAAAAAATTCTCTTTTATTCAGTTGTATGCTTGTGTGAATTAGACAGTCGGGTTGATAATGAAGCTTTAATTCGAGAATTTGTGTTAATTTATGAACTATGGATAAGATACATGCTAGATTTATTGAAATTTAACCTTGCAAAACTTGATATTATACGCGTACTAGAATTGAGTTTGTCATTGTGATGAAATGAGTTGTTTCATGCTCTTGATAGGTTGATTTAGTTGGACATAGATGCTTTATTCAAATCATACTAAATTAATTATCCTTAGACCAAATTTAATACAGTTTGAGGGTGATTTTACTATTGTTGGAAGATGTAGATGTGAATGTGGATTTCTTATGTGAAAAAAGTTTTGTGTGAATTTTCTTAGACTAATATGATAAAATTGGGCGAAAGTTTTGAGTTGGAGGTCAGTTTTCTTGAATAGGTGTATGATAAGAGACATTGCACTAATCAAGACATATATTTTAAAATTTAAAACTTCTCTTTGAAGCCTTTATGACTCGAGTAATTAAGTCTGAAAGGGTATTTTAAAACCTGATGCCCTAAAGTCGTCTAATTTGGGAGTTATCGGCCTAAAACTCGCTACAATGGTCATTTAGAAAGCAATTAGAGATGAAGTTGCCTTTGAAAAAAAATTATTCTCTTCGAAACCTTTATGACTTGGGTTATTAAGCCCGTAAGGGTGTTTAAAAATTTGGTGTCATAAAGTCATCTGACTTGAGAGTCATCGGCCTAAAACCTGTTACATGGGTCATCTAGAAAGGTTAAGGGAGAGTGCCAAAAAAAAAAATATAATAATAATAATAATAATAATAATAATAATAATAATATTAATAATAATAATAATAATAATAATAATAATAATAATAATAAATTGCATTAAATGCCTTGTTAAGTCCTAACACTTGTTCGAGAAAATTTGACTTTCGATGAAGGATAATTAGCCTAGTTGAGTCTTGGCAGTCGAAGCAATCAAATAATTGGAGAATCTTTATTCATTGATGTGTTAACTTGTAACTAGTGACGTCCACCTGAATTGGAGAGGGTGAGGATAGTAATGAAACTCAACCTTAGATTACACGCTGGGAAAATAGTGAAAAGAATAAGTTTGGGGTTATGTGAATTTTACGAGAGATGAAAATGATATATTTGACCAAGAGGGTCGGGAATTGAAACAACTTGTATATTCATGATTGATTACTTAATTCTTCACATATATGTCAATTTTGCAATGGTAAAGTAGACATTAATTTTGGTATTACAACCTAGAAGCTGTTCATAGATTTAATATTATAATTTTATATTCCAAGGTAGAAAGCTAGATTATCCAACCAAAATATTTTGCATGTTTGTGTGTTTGTTAAGTTAGGTTATGGTTTTGTTTGAGGACAAAAAAATAGTTTTTTAAAGCAATTATAGTCTAATTTATACTATATTTCATTTATTAGGTAAAACTCGATGGTTGGAAGTTAAATTGAAAGAAAGAAGCGAAAAATGGTGAAGTACAAAGTTGATGACCAAATTGCAAATATCCAATGGTTGAATTGGACCCTAAGAGATATTTTAAAGATTGATGGGAGTCCATTGGGTGCAATTAGAAGCAAAAAAGGAATGGAATATTATCAGAAGATTACCTTAAATTGACTTCCAATCACATGATATATCTTCCAAATTTTTAGTCAAAGATTGGACCAATTTTTGGCATAGTAAACGTTCGAATTGGAAAATATCTACATCTATAAAAATTGTAGCCATTTTAGTTAGCTTTTCAATGCATTTTGAATCAACTCAATCAGATATCGGGAGACAAAGTTATGATCAAAATACTGACTGTTGTGCAAAGGACAAAAATTCTACGCACGAGTATAACTTTCCTTATTCGATTAAAACTCTTTTGGAAACCAATTTGGGCGTGACTTTTCACCAATTTTCGACCCCTAAAGATACCCAATAGGAGAATACATGAAGGAGTCTCTCATACATATCTCTTATACATAATATACTCCAATAATCGTCACTTATCATCATCAAATGAAGAGAATACATTGTTTTTGTGAGAGAATTAAAGGGGACTTGCAAGAATTCAATCAAGTGAAGATTCAAACTTAATATTGGACAAAGAAGAGAGAGCAAAAGTGGAGATTCATTAAGAAACCATTGAAGAGATTCAAGATTTCAAGATTTATCTTCATCTTCTCAATTTATCAAAAATTCGGGATATGTCTTTACACTTATATATGATTTCGTGTAATTTCAATATGTTAGGCTAGTTTTATACATTGTTAGAATGAGATGAACCCTTATTATGATATTTTTAGCTTTTAATTAATTATTTTGACTTTAGTTTGATTTTATTTGTGAATGTTTATTATCATTTTTATTGTTCCTTTTAATTGTTTGATCACCAATTGAATTGTTAGTGGATTTTATTGTTATTGAGAGAGACAATGAAATTTTAGTACAACATAATAAACATTATGAGGTTCGATAGAGGATAGAAATATACCTCTATGCTTTATATTGTTTTAGTATATGTTCTAGCACTTATCATGTTTGCATATTTTATCGGGAGATATGAGGATCACACGAGGGGAATAAATTTGATCGTTGTCGAGAGAGGCTTTCAATTAAATTAGGAACATTGACTAACATGAATGATTTCAAATTGTTAATTTAATTGTTACACTAAAAATGAAATAATAAGGGGGATTCTACATCTTAGCAATATCTCTTGCAAATTTGATTAATTTTCTTACATTGCTTTTAGGTTAGTTGATAGATTTTATATTGTTTAGTCACAACTCGATTTTGCTATTCGATTAAGGGTGGTGTTAGCTTTAACTTGATCAAACACATAGTTCTCGTGGGTTCGACAGTCTACACATCACTGTATTACTTGTTCACGATCCCGTCCACTTGTGGGTAACCAAATGACCAAAAGTTAAGGGTCAAGGGTGGCGATTACTCTTATAGCAGTTTTATTTTTTTAATATATATATAGTAGATGTATATTTTCAACTCCCAATGTGAAAATCCTGACTCTACCATTGATCTTGATCTTATGCACTGACATTTTCGTGAAATAAAAGAAAACAATTAATTATGTACATATATATGATAGGCTAATATTATTGGATCGTTCAATCCCTCATAAACTCTAACTAAATTGAGGAGTATAGCCTGTTAGTGTGCCTTGGAGCCATCCATGTCATTATTCATATAGCTATTAATAGGGGCGCAGGGAGGGGGAAGGAAGGGCTGGGTCCCTGCCCCGAAGACCATTTAATTAATCTTTAGTGTAAAACAAATTTATTATTATTATTATTATTATTATTATTATTATTTTTGTGTGTGTGTGTGTGTGGGTGTCAGACTAGAAGATTTTATTTTTTATTTTATTTATTTATTTATTATTTTTTCGGGTGCTCCTTGCTTCGCCCCTGAGAGCTATTCTGAGTAATTTTTATGATCTAAACTAATTGCATTATATACCAATGGATGAAATTCAAGTAATTTTAAAAACATTCTTCATAAGTTTGTAACATCATCATACACGGGATTTTCGAAGGTATATATTTCAAATTTTTATAAGTAATTCGAATTCAGATATTATTATTAGTATTATTATTACATATTCTGATACAGTGTTAAATTATCTTATTTAATACTCAAAACAATCGTGGAAGAGCCATAAGCAATGATGTTCATAATCACAAGAGCACAATGTCATGTTACCAAAGGACTGTTGGACATTTGTGACACGCACAAGCGTTGACCACGCTCCATCTAATACTCGAAGAATTTTACTTGTAGTTTTTGAGATGGCTATAAGTTACATAAATATACATACGAATACACACTCATATGCAGTACCCTTTTTTAACACTAGAAACCACTCCCTAACTTACATTGTGTAACAATTCATAGTACTCTTCATAATTCGAGATCAATGCACTCCTTCACTTGAAGTTTGACAGACTGTTCGAGCAAATATTCATTTCTGCTTGACAAATGTTAATGACCCTATAGGTTTTTTCCGGGACTCTACAGGAGGGTCTTGTTTTACCTTGATCAAATTGCTCATAACATCGACACAATGTTTCACAATTTTCTTGAACTTGACTCCATTTTCATTTCGACTAATCACCGGATCTTGTTGCTTCTCTTCTTCCTTGACCTCGAAGTGTTGGGCTAATGGACATCTGCCTTGAATCAGCTCCTTCAAGCTTTTCTGCTGCTGATGATCTTCATGCTTTTGTCTTCTATGTGCATTTTCTTCTTTCCCTAAACATGTACTCTCACATGCCTCTATTTTGAGATTGTTAGGCCTTCTAGTTCTTCTTGACATGGATATATTGTAGTGGGGTTTACATGGATTATCGGTTTGCTCTGCCATTTTTATGATATACGAAAATCAACAGAAGATCAAGAAAATTTGGATGATTTTTGGGTTATTAAGCATTGGTTAATGATCAATATAAGGGTCTAAAAGAGGTGAAATGTCAATTCTCTTGGTTGGTATATTCCAATGTCTAACACATTCAAGTAATGTGAATTTATGGGCTAGTGATTTCCTTCATCAACCATTGAATACCATAGGCGAATTTATAGATACCTGAGGCCATTTTTGATAGAGTCTCCTACTTAAGATAGATATCTTTTTGTAACTACCCAAGTGATTTACCAATTCATCTATTTATCCCATATTTGAAGTGTCATGTCATGTCAAATGACTTGTGCCGTGTATGCACAAGGATATTAAACATTTTAAAAAGCAATACAATAATAAAACTGTGTAAGTTATATTGGTGTCTTGAATAAACATTGTAAATAGTTACTGTCGACATCATCGATAATAGTCGTTGAACGAGTTGTCGCTATTGGTAGTCTCATTTGAGTTACCGATATACATTAATTTTTATCGGAATCATCGAAAGATAGTGTTCCATTTAGACGATCGTTCCATTTTTATTTTATTTTATTTAATTAATTATTAAGAAAATGTCCTGCGAAAGCGAAAGAAGTATACTTACAAAGCATATGGTAGACACTAAATCAACAAATAAGCCAATCCATCTTTTCCAATGAAGTGTGCTTATGTTGCATGCATATTATAAAAACAATTTCCATATAAACTGATCAATTTTATAGGCTGTAGCCATATATGTATTGATTCATTATTGCAATATTCGATACTTAACCCTCGCAACATATGTAATACCTTAGTCTTGAAATTAAAATTTTTTAATCATCATGTCATGTCTAATGTACCAAACGTACTATCAATTATTTCATTTTGCATTCATTACTAAATTTACTTCCACAAAAATGAAAAATAAAAAACCTGAGTCAAGTGTCTCAATCTAGTTGACAGATTAATGCTCCAAACAATTGCCCCAACTTTTTTCGTTTCTTCACAAAATTTAACAAAGTGCTATTGGTATTAGTTTATCAACTCAAAGAAAAGGATTTATTCTAGGATATAGTATGTGAACCGAATGTTAGATATATATCAAATATATTATTTGAGAGAAATAATTAAATTAGATAAAATATTTAAGTGGTAAAAAGTGTGAAATTTATGTGGGAGGTTGACAGTTCAAATGATGTTTGTTTTTAGGGTTTCTTTCATTAAAATAAATTTATTTTAATCTTTTTCAAATTTATTTTTCTTGGTCAAACTAGCCAGTAAATTAAATGCTAGTTAAGACAGTTAATAGATTATATGTATATCATAACAACCTCGTAAAACCACAAATTTTTTTTTCTTTTAATTCTAACTTATTATGAAGGAAATTATAACTTTTTTTATGGCTATATAAACACACTTATGTTCTTTGGAAAACACAATAAAAAAATTCATTTACATATTTTACAATTTTGATATACATAATTTTAGTATTATTTTGATTTTGAGAAATTGTTTTGGAGTACTATTGAGGATTCCGAAGCACTCAAGTATTCGATCGTAATATCCCGAAAGTGATTGTCCAAAAATGTCGCAGCAGTTCAAGGCTGTCAATTTCACTTTAGGACATCGTGTTATCACTAGCCTCCATCGATCAAATAAGTTTTCTTACTTTTTGAATTTTAATTGTTGTTTTTAAATGACATCTGCAACTAATTTTCTCTGAGACCATTAATACTCTTTCTTCTGCAAATGGAACCCTATTGCTTATTTTCTATCTAAAAACTGCCCTTGTTGAAAAATACAATTGGCACAAACTCATTACAAGATTCTAATTTTCTTAAGTGAAATGTCATTGTAAATCATAAGTGTATTTTCTACACTTTTTTGAACCTTTAAATTAGAGTACTTATAGATTGTTTTGGTGAACTAATTCGATGTGTGTTGGATTTGTTAGGTCAAATCGACATAAATGGCGGAATTGGAGACATGGTGAAAAGTGGCTAAATTGTAAATGATCCAAAGTTTGGGACTGAAGTGCAAATATTCAGAAGTTGCGTCGGACATTAGATTAAGATTCGAGATGTGCTAGAGGTAAATTGGATGAGAAAAGAACTAAAAGGAAAGGAATATAGTCAAAGTTTTATCATACATCAAATTTCAATCGAAAAATTATACTTAAGGTTTCAGCCTCATATTAAGACCCATTTCTGACATAAAAAATGTTCGAATTAGAAAAAATATATTCGTTTGAGTTATCTTTTCAGTGCACTTTAAATCATCTCAATAAGATATTGGGATGGAAAGCTATGCTAAAATATTGAAGGCTGCTCAGGAAAAGTTTAGGCTTGCGCCTAGGCCTACAGAGGAGGCACGCACCTCCTTCTCTTCTGGGACAACTTGAGCCTTGTAAACCACTTGATGCATGCACCTCAAGTATGCCCTAGGCACACGCCTTAGAATAAAAATGAGAAAATTTTGATTTTCCTTATTTTTGTTTTGATAACAATTTAATGTAATCTTTTTGACATTCTTTAAATATCAAAACTCGACCAGAACGTGGGGAGGCTCCATTCAACCTAAATTTCATCATATTTTACATATATTAATGGCGAAGAATAAGTTTATACATCAATTCAAGGTGAATCATACAAGAATTTTGAAAATTCATAGCCCGATTTCTGGATTTGAGCTAAGAACATGAATATTTCCTATTTCTTATTTTTGAGTGATGTTTTTTCAATTATTCTTATGTAATTTAATTATAAAGAATGTTAGGATAAGTTTTCCATTGTATTGGATGGATAATGTATTATTAGTTGTTGCTTTTAATTGAAGACTCCTTAATTTAGTAATTTCTTGAGTTTCTTGAAAATTTATGGGTTTGCATTGTGTTATTTGAATGCATGATCACCATTTAGATAACTTGTTGTCTGTTCGTAGTGCTAAGAGACTCATAATAGGTAGAAAAATACATTCAACTCATAGGCAATAGATATTAAAAATGACATGTATGGCGTGTGCAATTGCGTGAAATAATCCTCATATTAAATGCATATTTTTTCATATAAATTTGGATTAAGAATAGGATCGGGTCATGTTAAGCATAGGTTTGACATTTCTTGAAAAATGATATTAAATAAAACTGAATTATTGATTGTTATTAATATTAGGAAAATAATACTACTTTTTATGGGTGGAGATTTGGAAATAACAGTAATAAAGGGATTCAGAAATTCAATACATTCACAACATATTTGCTAAAAGCTACTCTTAATTGCTTTATTAGTTCAAATTGGATTAGAAAATCACAATATATCTCTTTTGATTTTACTCTTCATCGAACTTGATAATATATAATTAGTATACCAAAATTAAACATTATTCCTCATTGGACAACAAACTCAATTTATCTATTACTTGTCAATAATCTTGTAAGCTTGCAAGATTTTATTGAACAATAAACAACTCAAAGAAATCAATATTCTTTAGTACATGGACATAATGAGGCAGAATCTATGCTGGTTTTAGGAGGGAAGCTCTCAATGTGGCCCCAGAAAGCAGATTCGAGCGTTATGGATCAAGGAATCTGGCCAAGAGCTTCGGCAATGGCTGAAGCATTATGGTCAGGGAACGGAGATGAAACGGGAAAGAAAAGGTATACACAGGTTACAGATAGATTGAATGAGTGGAGATATAGAATGGTAACATGAGGATTATATGCTGAACCAATTCAGCCAATTTGGTGTGTCAAGAATCCTGGAATGTGTAACACAGCTCATTAATTTTGTTTAGCTTATTGCTCTTTTTACTTGTCAATTTGTTTTTCTTAAGAGCAATTTGTTTTTCTTGAGGAATTGAATTAAGAATGTGAAATATGAAGTGTAGAAATATTTGTTTGACATTTCCTTGGTAAATAATTAAACATCTTGCGAGGAGCAGAATATTTACCAAGGAAATATGTTATGAAATAAACCAGTACATTCGGATCAGTCACCTTCACACATTTCATATCAAGAAAAAAAATAGTCAATGTTCCAAATATTTAATACATTGACCAAAGGGCAAGAAATCATCTTTTTAATCAATTTCAAGTTGACAATCCAACGAACAAAAACTCTTAAATTTTTCTGGACGATTTGTATGTGATCAGAGCGCAAAAATTGTCAATGTTCCAAATATTTAATACATTGATAAAAACCCCTTTAATGCAGATAGGTATGATGTTATATCCAAGATATGTATGGCAAGATATGTATGGCCCTTTTGGGATGGCTTTTGAAAAATTATAGGAGCTTTTGGGATTCAAAAATCACTTTTCGATCCATTTGACAAATTTTATAAAGTACTTGTTCTATTAGAAAGCTTTTAGTGGAAGCTCGTCCAATATAGGTTCCTCTAAAAACATTTTCGAAATAAGGAGCTTTTTTAGAAATTCAAACAAAAATTAAGATATCATCCTTGTAAAACTCTTCTACATGAAGTAAAAGTTGGGCTGTACTACATTAGTTACTTGATTCACAAAATTTACGAGGTACACTTAATTGTTTGATACATTGAAAGACAATCATCAACAAGTTTGCTACATATTTTATTCTAGTCACATTCATTGTACTAAACATTTCATCAAGGTTCAAAGCATTTTTGTCTAAAGGTAAATACTTAATAGTGCTCTTTCATGATCTCTCATGCCATAAAAAATTTTACAAACAATTTGAAGATGGTCAGTTATATGTATTGAATATTTAAATAACACATTAATATTTTAAAATTAAAAGTTTTATATCAAATAGTTCAATAAAGCACAGGAGCGGAGGCAATTGTGTTATGCTGGGTTCAAGTCTTGTCGCTACTTATTTAAATAAAAATTTCACACGTTATGCTTTGTTGGAGAAATATAAACCTCACCTACATGTGAAGAGCTTATTGAAAATAATATTTAAATATTATTTATGTGACTTCGTTTAATAATAACTTTTAAATCAAATGGTTCAACAATATGAAAAGTAAAAGAAAATAAATTTTAAAAACTGTAAACTGTCTCCCTTAATTATATATGTTTGCTCAACCATTTAACTTATATTTTTAGGGCCTGTTTGATACAACACATTTATCGTGGAAAATGGACATCCAAATGTGTTGTTTGATTGCTAAAAAAATTTCCATGGAATTTGTTTTTCAACTACCCATCACGTAATGCCATTTTCCATGTTTTCAAGGAATTCAATCTCTTTGGGTTTTGGTGGGAATTGGGTTTTCCAACTTTTTTATTTTTATTTTTATCTTTATTTTGGCAATAGCAACAAATTCTATCAACAATTATAACAAATTATATCCCTTTCATTGATAATTTTTATGAAAAACAAAGTCAAACGAATATCGAAAGATCCAAAATTTTAATATTTTTCAGATGAAAAATTATATCAATCAAACACATTTAATTGACAATTCCCTATAAAACAATTTCTAAACAATTCAATTTACTGGAATTCGTTTTCTTTTCACCCAAATTCCATTTTTGCAATCAAATGGACCCTTATTTGAATGAAGAAGTATATATATAAAACGATTCAAGGTTGCCCAACATAGACGAAAGTTTTATTTTAGTCACTCAACTTCAATTTGTTCCAATAGTCGAATGAGTAAAATGAAACTTCGCCGAAAGTTGGGTCACCAACAGTATCTTCTACTTTGTGAATGAAAACAACTAATCAACAAACAACAATGGATTAAGGATTAGGTTTAGGTTTAGGTTTAGGTCTGCAAGTTATGTAGCAAAAGCTTCATTTACTTGTGCAGATGATTATAATTGCACCGAACTTCGACTTTCTTACGAAGTACAGCTTCTTTAAATATAAGACAACCGACAATTTTTAGAACGTCCCTCATTTTTAATCTTGTCGGGGTGGAAATGGAAGATCTATTATCCTAGCAACTGCACTAGAATTGCTCTAAACTATGAATTTTTCATCATTCAATTCTTTCTTGCACTCAATATGTGAATTAAACATTTTAAAATTCTCATAATTTTTCTTCTAACATTGATCTTAACAAAATGAAATGCCATATAAATCCAGTACTCAACTGATAGTACATTTCAAGATCTTTCCAATTTCCTTAACTAACTTAAACATGGCATTTTCGACCCCGGTTGCAGTTCTTTTTATCGCCATTTTTACGACCCATCTCTTGCTCGCACCATCTACTTCAGATGCTGCGATTACGTGCAGCGATGTGATCAAAGATCTGAAGCCATGTATTAACTACCTAAAAAGTGGCAGCGGATCGCCCCCGGCCGACTGCTGTGCCGGAGCATCAAATCTTGCATCAAGTACCACATCCACAGCTGACAAGCAGGCTGCATGTACCTGCCTTAAGAATGCTTCCAAGAGCATAAATGTTAAGCCAGAGCTTGCAAAATCTCTTCCAGGGAATTGTGGCATCAGCTTTCCTTATCCTCTCTCTCCAACTGTTGATTGTTCCAAGTAATAATTTACATCTATAGAATTGGTCTCCCACCGCCGTCAGTGAACAGGATAAAAACTTCTCACTACTGATATGGCAGAGAGAACAATAAGTAATAGTTCTTTGAAAGTATGACAACTGCAGAGAATCACGTCAATAACCTGAAGTTTTTATCCTGTCCACTATAAGTAGAAATCAAATTTGTTTTCATCTATACACTTTATTTGATACACAGACCGTTGATTTACTTCTTATATATCTTGCTTGTCCACTCACGTGCAAACTTATTTTTGTCAAAAATATGACACGTGCATAAATTCATTAACGAACTTAAATAGTAAAATTTATCGATATCGTATTGAATTCACGGCATTGACTTCTTTATTTTTATTTTTTTGCTTGGCAGGATCAATTAAAATGGCGTAGTCCAAAGGCTATTCAGTGCATTTTCCATCAATAGCCTATCTATTCTTGAGTTTCACTATCTGTGCTATTTTCTGTAGAATAAAATGTATTTTCATTGTTGTGAAAATGCAGTGCGATTATTATGTTCTTATATAATATTTTGAATGATTTATATTATTTTTATTTCGAGTTTTCTAATTTGTATCAGGATAAATGATTGACATCGGCCACTATTTAGATAATTGTTGTACAAAGAATGCAACACAAAATAACACATCAATTGGAAACTCTATTTTGAAACCAAATATAAGAAAATTATAATTTATTCATATAAATTCAATCTTTTTTTAAAAAAATAAAAAAAATTGTTAATCTACATTTTTAATATTAGGCTTAATGCTTTTGTGAAGTTCTAAACACACAAATATGACTTCCTCTGGAATGGTCAAATAACCTTCATAGATAGATCTGGTAAATCAGTTAATTATTATTAATAATTTTTTCGTGATCTATCATTTGAGACTCAAGAAAGCTTATAACCCACCATAGATTTACCTTCCCTTCTTACTTAGCTAAACGAAACCAATACCCAAATAACCAATTATCATTGATATAACTTCCATTGATATTTGATTTGACTATAAAATTGACTTCTTACATAGAAGAAATTGTGATTTCAAACATTTCGATCTAGTTCAGGCTTGAAATAACAAAGAACACCCAAAGTCGAAAAACTATCGAATATTTAAAGCTAAGTAATAAATACTAATGAATTTAATTTTAAACATGTGGACAGAATTATCTTACTTCCTACAACATTTCTGTTGCATGTACAAAAAATGGCTACCAGAATTCCTTCAGAAGACAGTTGACAGCAATTTATCGAATAATGACAAAAAAAAAAAAAAGAAAAAAGAAAAAACAGACAGACAGACAGACGCACCAAATGCTGCATCTGATGGATTTCTGGCAGCAATTCTGTACAAGAGGAGGAATTGCTGTCCACCAAGGACGTAGATTGGAAATTACAAAAGGATTAATCTTGTTGTACATTACATTGTACATATGGACACCCCGCACCTCGACATTGGTTGAGCGCCTGTAGGCCCGTGCGTGGCAGGCCGAGGTGCCATGGACACCCTTATGTACAATGTGATGTACATGTAGTATCTTCCATTACAAAAAAAGGTTCATTCTAATTAAAGTAATAAATAAAATAAATTGTGTAAATTGCACAGATGATCCCAATAATTTTCGACTTTTGCACTATTAGTTCCATCTTTTCCATTGATGTTATCTTACTTTGCTCTCTGAATTCCTATATTACCACAGAAGTGACATCCCTTGAAATATCATTTCCTCATTCTAAATTTAATCAAACCCAAAGATTCAAAAACAATATCTGAGGCTTATGAAATAAAGTTTCAAGAGTTTATATAAGTATGTTTCAGGGTATATATATCTTGTGCCGATGCACCTCCATTGTACAAGTACAAATTCAAATAAGAGTTAAAGTTGAGAATCTCGATCTGAAAGAAAATAAAAATTATTTTACAATTCAATTGGAGAATTATAATCAGTATTGAATCACAAAGAGAGTCAAGAAATTAAAATACGAAAAGCAGGTACATTCAAAAACTCGACACGTGCTCCTGATCGACTCCATTCTATAAAAACTAATTTTATTTCCAAATTTATTTTCAACCACACATTCTTCAAATAAAATAATTTTATACGTAAATTCAAAACATTTTCCTACTTTTCAAATATACATTCTCCAAGAAATCACTATTACAAAACCAGATCTTTCAATAAATGGAGCTCAAAAACACCCAAATTAGCCTCCGTTTGGTAGAAATTTTTCAATTCAAAAAATAAATTTTTTAACCGTTATTTCATTATTCCAACTGTCATTTTTTGACTTCTTCACTTGCAGATAGACCCACTTTTTTCTAACGGTAAAAAAATCAATTCTCATAATCACCACTGAACATGTCCTTAGATTTAAAAGCAACACAGATAATGAAGCAGAGCGAAAAAAGGACTTGCAATGAAAGCCAGTAATAGGTTTAGTAGTCATGTCATTAAACAAAAGCAATGTTCCTAATAAGTTTGTGAACAGGTAAATAAGCCATTCTCCCTGTGAAACACCTGACTACATCGCCACTAATTTAGCCTTCGACTACAAGAAACAACTGTGTTTAAGATGCTATTTAAATGAATACATGTCCTTCAACTACAAGGCTTCCTTCTCCTGTCCACCATTCATTAGCATGCTCAACACGAGGAACAGTAACGAAGATTTTTCTCATAAAAGTCTATCAGCTGCATTTTAAAAGGAAGCAACACTATAAGATTGATATTTTAATCCCAGGCACGTTAACTATTATCACATCGAAGAAATATTCATGGCAAATGAACCATATAAGGTTGAAATATGTACCAGAAGTGGATTGTTGGCTCTCAAAAATTTGTTATCCACCGTCACTTTAGTACCATCAAGCCTGCAGGCAGCCACGAAAATTACAGAACTTAACCAAAAGAAAGATTCATGAATGTGGACACTTCACAATAATGTTGGCTAATGAAACAAGCAAGACAGCAACCTATAAAGAAAAAGGAACTAAAACGATACAAATCCAAAATGATCATTCAGCTTACAAAAGAACATTTCAATTCTTCATGGAAACACAAGACATCTTATTCATCCTCTGGGCTTAAGATTTAATACATCGTAAGACATTCACATCATTGTATGCCAATAATCAACAATAGGGCTTCAAATAATTTTCAGGAGTCAAGAAAGCACAAACTGGCAAATATGAATGGCCAATTGGCCATGAAGTGAAAACTTTCAAAACTGAACCTGAACCGTGAATCTTATTCTGTCAGTCCCAACCTAAGTAAATATAATAATTCTCATTTCAGCAAATCACAATGTCAGGAGCCTATTGCATGTAATGATTCAGGTCCCATACAAATGCCAAAAGGACAACAGAATATACATCACTCTACCAAAGTTCATCAAAGTAGTTACTAGTATCTGTTATAACTCAAAATTTTCAACAGAGTTGTCAGGGTATTTTTTATAATAAAAATAAATAAATAAATAAATAAAAACTGAAATGAAACAAATACCAAAAAGTTGTAAGCTAAAGAAAATCAGGCCACGCTTCTGATAGATCTCCTTTTTCAAGAAATAATATTCTAACTAGTAGGCAGTTACTTACAGTCAAATTCAATGTCTTCCTCCAGTTAAGATTAGAAATATGTAGATAATGCATCTCCATTTTTTTTTTCCCATGCATCATTACACACCGTATTATGGCGACTATTATGTAGTTCTGCAATTTAGAATTGAATTAAATTATCCTACAAATATCCACTTCTACCTTATTTACCCAAAAGGCACCAAGTGATGGTACAACCCCCTTTCACCATTTTGTTTCTTTTTCCCCCTTCAAATTCTGGTATAAAAGAAAATACCAGAAAATAGATCAAAAACCTTTAATATGCAATAAAACAGAAATGTCATCAATGTAATCTGAAAGGCAATCTCAACCTAGCCAGAAGATCATTTATAGATATATCCTTGTTGACTTTTGAAGTGTATCCATTAAATATGCACATATTATGTTCAATTTCATAATTCTCTGTGCCATATGCCAAGATCTTTCACTAAGGAAATTCCCCCCCCCCCCCCCCCCCCCAAAAAAAGTATCACACTGACAAGTTAAGGACCTGTTTGTGCCCCTTTAATTTCAAAAAGTGTATTATAGAATAGTAATTGATGTTGAAATATGTGATTAAAAAAGAAAGAATTTTTTTTGATTTATATTTAATATTATTTTAATGAAGAATGTGTGGTTGAAATTAAGTACTGTAGAAAAAATAATGTGGTTGAATGGTTGACAAACAAAGGCTAAGTTCCATTAGTGAGCAATATATACAAATTATTGTAGCTTCTACAACAAATCGAGATTGATGAGAAATGGTCTTTCACAAATCAAAAATTTCATGAACCATGATGGTTTCAAACGCTAGATAATCACAAAAATGTCTATGCCAATTAACCTCAAGAAAAGACATATAGTATATATTGATTTAATTTGTAACAAGAGTTAATGCAAATGATATCACTGCCATGCAAAGTTGGAAAAGTTAGCCTAAAAGATAGCGCTACAGGCTCCTATTGTTTGACCCAATATTGACGAAGCTTATTACCCAGAAATGGAGATGGTGTGCTTGAACACGCTTGCAACATAGCATCTACTCTTTCTTAATCTCAGCTTGATAAAGTACAATTTACAAGATTCATTATTTTATAGATTTATTTTAAGGAACAATTTAAATTATTATATAGCGTTCCTGAAGAGAAGGTCATGCTAGTTTAGTGCATGGGATTCACATTAAATTATGAATATAATTCACCAGTTAAACATGAACTAAGAAAGTTGGAGCAAGATCTCAAACCTCACAGCATCAAAGGCTACTAAAACCTCTTCAACATTGTTTGAAATAGAAATTTGATAGCTTATAGGCTTTATGATCTGAGCAATAGTAGTACCCAGCTTTCCGGAATCCTGAAGCTGACTCTTGCCACTCATATTGTTCCCCAGAAAATCAGGACTTTGAACACCACTTGGTTCAGCCAGAGTACACGTTGTATTTGCATTTTGTGATACTGGACCTTTCTTGAACCTCTTGACAGAACCAGATTTCCTCTTTTTAGCTCCAATGCATTGACTGGACAGAGCTGGTTCTTCAACATCAGCTGTCTGCAATCCATTTGCAAAGGCATCTCCTGTTGTCACTTGCCCTTCTTGGGAAGCCACAGCAAGCCTGTCCACATTATCCTCACTGATTACCATTGCTCCCTGTTCACAAAGCTTCAAACCCAACTCACTTTTTTTATTTCTTCCTTTCCAAACCATCTTACGACCATTTTTATTTACTTTCTTGGATGTTTCAACATTGTTCACAACACTAACATGAGTCTTCCCATTGTCATTAGCATTAAGGCCTTCTTTAATCCTAACCCTTTGTGAGGGTACATTGTAAGTGGCAGCTACAGGAGATCTCTGTCGATGTTTTTTCTTGGTTCGGGTGAAACTTAGACTGCTCTTGCGCTTTCTCTTACGCGGTGACTGACCTTTCTCTGCTTTCAAACTTGAAATCCAATAAAACAAGCCAAGCCAAGCCAAATATCATCAAACTAAAGTTACATTCTAATTATTCCATTCAAAAAGATAATATAACACTAGTAACATTGATTAAAGAAAGTCAAATTAGAAACAATAAAACCTTTCTTCAAATGCATCAATAATATCTGAACATTGCAGTAGATTATCAAGAGGCTCCCATGTGTTTTCTGCCTCTGACCAGCCTCGCCTTTCCAAAAACAACCATTACATTAATCAACACAAAACACATTTTCAGGCCGTTTAAACACTAATATGCTGTTATTTTCTCTCCGAATTTCACATAATACAGAGTATGCATAGTGATCTGGATTACGTACCATTTAACCAGATAGTGCACTTTGCCCTGCATTTCAGCCGTATTTCACAAAGCCCACAAAAATAAGAGAAGGCCACAAATCAGTAAATCATCATAAATAAAAGTACATTTCAAATAATCCCATCCAATAGTCCTTCATTTTCTTTCTCCAAGCAGACAAACAGAACTAACAATACCAAGAGGCCACAGAAGGATGATTATATACCTTCCGAATGCGTTTACTGCGCACAGCTTCAATCAAATAGTACCCATCTGCTAGCTTCAGCCTCTCTGCCTCCATTTCGAGTTCTTCGATCTTCGAGTTCTCCAACTGCTCGGAGTCTTCCTTTTTCCCTTCTTCTTCAAAAGCAGCTTCAGTAGCTTCAAATCTTTCACTTTCCTCTGGATTTTTCACCACCCCGACCATATCGCCGCCACCAGTGACGGTCCTTGCGGCTGCAGATGGCTGATGTAGCAGAGGGAAATGTCGGTTTTCTATGGACTTGCTGGTTTTTCTCCTTTTCCCTCCCTTCATCCTCTCTCTCTCTGTCTTTCTCTCTCTAACTTTTTGATGATCGGTCTTTAGTACAAATCTGCAGTCCTTGGAGTAAGGGGTTTTAGTGTTGGGAATGTAATAGCATTTAACGTCTTCACTTGTTCACGAAACTTCAAAATAATTTTCTCATTCAACTTTGAATAATTCCCTGTGTACAGGGAATGATGAATGATTTCATAGGGTCTGTAAAGCCCTTCACATGGGGCCAATATTTAAATTTTTTATCATTATTTTACTATTTTAACCGTTATATTTGACTTCTTCTCTCACGGGTAGATATTACTTTTTTCCTAACGATCAAAAAATCAATTCTCAAAAATACTCCCAAACAGGTTCTTGTCTCTTACATCCCATCACTCACAAAACAGATTTTATTTCTTTTTCAAGATGAGATGGCAACGTCAATTTGTGCAACACCCAAACATTCCTTTTGTCACAACCCATAACCAAAACACTAATTCCTTAAGCAAAACCTCAAATTTCACCGAAGTGATGAAATTGAAAACAAGATTCATCTCTCACTCCCCAAATTCTTCTAAACCCTAACCCCACAAACAAATTCGACCAATTGAGGACCACAGACCTTGGAATATTGAAGATGTTGCACATGGGGGGACCACATGAAGGTAATTCCCAAACAAAGTTTTGATATTCATCGATTTTCTTTTATTGCTTCCTTGTACGTGGGATGTCGAAAAAATTACATGAGTGTAAATCCAATATGGATGTTACCTAAAATAATAGCTTTTGTACGTAATGGCTAGCATCTCAACTAGTTTAATAGATACCAAATTCAATGAACTACTAATTAAGTCCCTATTTGATCCTCATTTTTGGAGTAAATATATTGTTGAATATTAATTTTTGAGAAAATATGCGGTTAAAAAGTAAAAAAAAATTTTGAAATAAGTGAATAATTATTTCATGGAAAATGTGTAGTTGAAAATGACATTTGAAAAAAATGCATTCCTGAAAAAATGGGACTCAAACATGGGCTAAATATCATGGAAAAAGCTACGAAATTTGTTTGGGATGTTCCATTGCTGTGTGACTTTCTAAATGTTGATTTTGTTGGGAATTTACTTAATCATGTAAAGCTAAAGGGAAAATAATTAGAATTCCCACAATGATCTACCTTGTGTTTAGGTAAAAACAGTGATAGGAATTATATCTTTTGTAGATTTTGAAAACTCTTTTGCAGATCTTGGAATACGAACAATCAAAATCTGCAATCCACAGCTATCCAGCTTCCAATGGAAATCCGTACAGGTAACAAGAATGAGGGAATTAGGGTTTCTCTTTTCTTGTACCAGCAAAACAATGAATGTTGTTCTATTATTTCTGAAACCCTAATAGATTATTAATATAAGTTCAAGTGGGCTTGACCTGTCTTTTAAACTTTAATCATGTCCAATATTTAATTAATTTAATTAAATAAATTTGGTCTGGGAATTAATTAATTCAGTCAATTAATTCGGGCTTTTTAACAAGTAACCTAATTAATTAATAAATCTCATTCTCTTGGTTCTCCTTTTGTTTGTGATCCACTAAGTTTTTGATCACGATACCTAATGATGTGAGTTATTTTTTTGATTTAATCAAGATCGATAAAATAAATATATGTCGTCCCACATTAACATCTAACAATGTGTTGGAATAATACATGTGATGAGAAATGTCACGTACTATGATAAAACATTTACTGTGAGCTTACAATCATTTTATCAATATAATCTGATCAATTACGAGATATAGATGTATCAATCTCAATAATCGATCATATCTTTCATTTCACTATTAAGTCAATGTAAGTCAAAAACTTTTTTACGACTTATGAGTACACAATGACTAAGGATTTTGTTATCAATTTAACTGAATGAAATGTAGATCATAATATCTTATTATCTAAGAGTGACGAATCATTTATTGATCATTCACAATTTCATATAATTCTTAAAATACCTGAATGAAGTTTTATTAGCTACCATTGGCAACACAACATCTAACATCACCAAAGTATGAGTGTCCTCATATAATGTACTATGATAACCTTAAGTCAAATAATCAATTTCATTATCGAACGTTAGAGATAACCACTGATGCTCAGATAGCTATCCATATAGAATCTCCCCATTGGGTTGCCAATGTTTTATTCCATAGCGTTATCCACCTTTAAGTGTTATCACACTTTAACTTATGAGATAAGTTACTTTCTTCATAAGATATGTCATATTTAATGGTCTATCCTTAATAACGATATTCGTATATCGTTATTACTTATGATTATGGATAATTTAAAATTCAGTCATATATAATTTATATATCTCACAATCACAACTCTTTATGATTAACAAATTACGAAAACTTGAATCTATGAATTCTATTACTTAATTTGTTAGAATATTAATTAAATTAAGTAATAGATATGCCTTAAATGAAATGCAGCAATAATATATTAAAAGTTTTTGTCCAAAATTAATTGAATTTAAGACATAACACTTACATATTGTAAATAATATAATGCAAATTCCTACATAGATCTCTAAAGAAAAACAATAGATTCGTGTTATGTAATGTATATATTCTCTTTAAAGTTAGAGTCTATAATTAATTATGTATTCTAAGTTCAATGAATCCGGGTATTTCATGTGGAATTTATTTTATTTTATTATTTTTTTTTGTTTTGGATAAATTAATATGCTAAAGAAATTAAAAATCGAAATCCACCTCTTATGCCCCCATTTCTCCCCTCTTCTAGATTTTAAAATCCAGATCTCAAAGTTTATAAGTGTAACACCCTGAATTTTCTTACTATTTTTTATTTGAGGCCTAAACTTAATATTGTTCATTAGCAAATGAATGGTCTATGTCTAATCTTGTCATCACATTAAGTTCAAACGTTAAAAAATAAGCTCAACCTACTTATTCGCACAAAAAATTTATCTTGCTTACGAGTACTTTTAGAATTTATCGTAAACTATTTGAATCGAATATTTAAGTACTTTTTGAAGTTGATGAAATATACCAAATATTATACTCGTTTTGTAGATCATGTTAAATAAAATAAATTGGGCTTATGAAAAAATGATTTTGAACTATTTCCGAGTTATATTGATAGAAAAAAAACGTAATCTAAATTATATATTTTATTAATATAAAAACAATAAAATAATAAAAAGGAAAACTTTCATTTCAGTTCAGGTACAGTTACTTGGAAATATGAACGGATATCATAATTTAATAAATTAAACATGATTAATTCATTTTGAAAATAATTAATCCCATAAAACTCCTAATTTATGAAATAAATGACTTAAACCAAAAAGTCATTTGTTTTACTTGGAGTTACGGGTATGTGTTAGAATTTTACATATATTAGAGTTTTCTTTTAAAACACAAAAAACTTCATTTCTTATAGTTTGATGCAGGCATACTTTGTTAGAAATAATTTCTTTTACTATAAGTCTACAATCATATTTTCAAATAAATTCTTGAATATCAATTGAGGTAAGAATATATCGTGCAAAGTAGTAAATTTTTATCTCTTGATATTTATATAAATTTTGGCATGAAATACTATAAAGCCTTCGGATCGAATTCTATGTTAAATTCTTCGGGATAAACCATTAGGTCAAGTATGTTATAATCTTAAGGATTTGACCTTTGGGTCAGTTATGTTAAATCCTGTCGGATATGAAAATTTTTAAGAAATTCCTTTAGCTCTAAATCTAAGAAATGTCAGTATGTTATTTCAGTTTTATATTTATACCATGTTAATAAGAATGTGTACGTATTCTTACTGATTATTTTTCAAAATACTCACTCTTATAATTACTTTTGAGATGAAAACGGGCCATGTAGACGTGTGGAAGATTGACCGAGTGATACTTATGGGGTCGCCAAGTAAAGTTTCCAGAAAAATATAATTATCAACTTTTATTTGAATAATATCTTTAAGTTAATACATGTTATTTAATATTATTAGAGATCCAGTATCCGACATTTTATGTTAAATCTTAAACTAATAGTTTGACATGGAGTATTTCAAGAATTATATTTGATCTGAAAATTTTATTTAAGTTGTTATTTTATCGTTATCAAATTGTCAATCACATTTTCAAATTTCAACACTTAATAAAAGTGATATTTTCGCTTAAATTAGATGAAGAAGATTTTGATAACACCTTAGGCTTTTTAATTTTTTTTATAAAAGAATAAAATAATGAAAATGAAAAAGATTTCGGGGCATTACAATGAGAGAGAGAGAGAGAGTGTGTGTAACTCACATGCTGTTCACCTACTGGTTAAATTCTGTTGTACCTTAATTTTATGATAGTTTATGAGGATGATCTAGATATCGTAGATTCTAAAAACAACTTGGAGTCTGAAGAAGACATCTTGTATGACGGATATGTGATTGACGGGATTGAAATGGGTTTGGATGGCCACGAAGGTAAAGTTGAGGATGAATGCGAAGACGACAAGGATATCGAAGTGGATGAATTGAAATATTCATTCGAGGAGGAGCTATTTCTGTAGCGTTCATCACATGAGGTGGATGGGTATCAATTTCTAGAATTTTATATCGAGATAGACATGAAGAACCTACAGTTTGAGGAAGTGATATTTTTATTCTGTAGTAGAGTTTTGAGAGGCGTTTAGAAATTATGATGCTAATGTAATGTTTAAGGCGAATGACGAGAGAATAGTACAAGAAGTTTGCAAACTAAGGTGTAAATGGAGAATCTGGGCCTCCAAAGTGAATGACACTGAGACATTGCAGGAGAAATCGTCCACATCGGAACATCCATGCAGTCGAAACTTATATAACAGATAATGCAATTTCATTTTTTAACACATCGTTATATTGATCAGTTCAAGACAGACCGTGACTCAAAGATCAGGCTTATTATTACAATAGTAAAGAAGGATCTATGTAAAAAACATTAGCAAAAATATTGCTTGAAAGATGAGAAGAGACGCCAAGAAGTATTGGTAGGAAATATGCAATATCAAATTAGGCTGTTGAGGTCTTGTGCAGTCGAGGTACTACGGACTAATCTTGACTTCGCTATCATTATAGCCCAAGTGCAATTAGCATAAAGCCCGACAGAAGCAGATGCTTTAGGCGTTTAGGAGGAATATTATAAACTGAAA